AGGGCGACTACCGGTTCGCGCGGGAGAAGAATTGCGACCTGCGCTTGCTCGACTTCGAGACGTTCGGCGGCTTCGGGGACGGCGTCCGCAGAATTCTTCGGCAGGCGGCGGACCAGCTGAGTAACAAACTTTCGCACGCTCAGCACCTCGATGAGGTCACATGGACCACCAAGAACTGGCACGGGCTGCAGATGCAGCGCTTGTCTGTCGTTCTCCACACCGCCGTGGCGTGGCAGACGGTGAACGAGCTAGCGTGCGGGGACAGCGGCATTGTGCACGGAGCTAAGTGCATTGCCGTTCTTAACGGAGTCGCTTAGGCGGCTCCGGTGGTGTGCCGGTGATAGTACTAGCACGCGCCAGTTCGCACCTGTGTCGAGCCTGTGTGCTGTGAGAGAGAGTTGTTTTGTTTAAATTCTTTCTTTCTTAGCACACTGGCACGACAAGGGCGCGGACCAAACGCACGGGACTGGCGTGCACTGGCACTAACACAGGTACACCACGGCTCGGGAGCCGCCTAAGCGACTCCCGCGAGGACGGCGAGGCACTTAGCTCCGTGCACTCGACCGCCCCCGCCACAGGCAACCAAGCTCATTCACAATCTCTGAGAAGTTCGCGCGGTTGCAACTGCCATGTCGGCTGGTCGTCGGCTGCTGCTCTCGCCTCGCTGGCGGCGCGGTCAAGTGCCGCGGCGCCCAGCCCTCCTGTCTGTGTGTGGGCCCGAGGCGGCTCGCCGCCGCGGTTCTGCACAATGTGACCGGTCCGGGTCCGTCCCGGCATACCGCCGGTGCCGCTTCCTCGCCGTTTTTTTGCTCAACCACTTAGTCGACAAACTTGCCCCAGAGCTCCTGCTGCTCGACTGAGCGGCGGAGCCGGCCCTTCACGGCCGAGATGCGATGCGCCGACACCGGGGCTACGGCTCGGGACCGTTTCCGGGCTGTCTCGGGCAAGTTCAAAATTTGAGTATTTCATGACCTCGACACCTGCGGCTCTTTGACTTCCACCTCGCGGCCCGCTGCGCGGCTCCTCGAGCGCGAGAAGTGTCGTCTGCGAGGCGGCGGCGAGCGCAGGCGGCGCAGGCGGCGGCGGCGCGGCGGCGCGGCGGCGGATCGCGGCGCTGACAACGGCAGCAATCTGCGGCAGGCTGCTGCTTGCTGCTGCTGCTGCTGCTGCTGCTGCTGCTGCTCCGCTGATTGTGGACACAATTCCTCCGCTCACCCCGCCCGCCCGCCCCGCCCCGCCCGCCCGCCTCTCCCCGCTTGCCCGCCCGCCCGCCCGCCCGACCGCCCGCCCGCCCGCCCGACCACCCATTCCCATCACCATCTCACATACCTTCATATAGGCGCTCGAGACCTCCTCTCGCTGCCTACTCGCTGCCTCTGGGGAGGAGGGGAAGGCGTCAGGCAGCTCTCACCCTGTGATGAGCGCTTGAACGGAGGCCCCTCCCTGAAAGGCAAGTCTTAGCCACACGAAACCGAGACCCCTCCCCACCGCCCCGATCCCCCCACCCCCTTGCTCCCCTCCCCCCCTCGGGAGGGCCGAACTGAGGCGCCCGGCCCGCCTGGGCCTGCAGCTGGCGCGCAGGCGAGCGCGGCGGCGCGGCCGCCGCTGGCGGGCGCGGCCTCGGCGCCGCACGCGACGGCGCCGCCTACAAATTCTTTTCTCGACGGCGTTCTGTGGCGCCGGCCGCGCTCCTCTCCCTCTCGGCGCTCGTAGCGGCCAAGCTCAGCGAGGCCCGGGATATGCCCGCCGCACATCGCGGCGCAGTTTCCTTAGTGCTTTGCTGTTTTTGCTGTTAATCTCATGAGCGCTGTCTGCCCTCTAGCCCAGCCGAGTGCAGCCCAGCCAGCCGGAGGCGGGCCGCAAATAGCGGTCCCGAGCACTCGCACGCCCCCCCCCTTCCCCCACCTTCCCCATGCAACGCATCGCACACCGAAGGGAATGCACTAGCGCCGCGACCCCCACCCTTGCCCATACCACAGCGCATCGCAAAGCTATGTCGCTCACTCCCGATCTCAAGGACCAGGAAGGAACGCAGACCGCTGCGCCGCCCGAGGGCGGCAGATTGCATTGGTCCTCGGAGGCGAAGCCTCGGCAATGTTACACTGTCTCCTCGGAGAGGCGGAAAAGGCCTCGGCAAATGTTACACTGAATTAATAGCTGCTGGCGGCATCGAACCCCGCCTTGTGCGACACCGCCTCAACCGAGACAGCTCTCACCCCCGTTTTTACTCCGAGTGAGAGCGGCAGCAGACATTGCGACGGAACTCATAGTCGACCGTGGAGACTGTGCAGAGCACTGCTATTATGAACTGGAGACTGTGCAGAGCACTCCTGTTATGACTGGGGACTGGAGACTGTGCAGAGCAGTACTATTATTACTGGTTACTAGACTGTGCAGAGCAGTACTATTATTACTGGTTATTGGAGACTGTGCAGAGTCCTGCTGCTGCTGGTTACTGGAGACTGTGCAGAGCACTGCTATTATGAACTGGAGACTGTGCAGAGCACTCCTGTTATGACTGGGGACTGGAGACTGTGCAGAGCACTCCGATTATTACTGGTTACTAGACTGTGCAGAGCAGTACTATTTTATTGGTTACTGGAGACTGTGCACAGTCTCCGCTCTGCACAGTCTCCAGTCCCCAGTAATAACAGTACTGCGATGGTTATCTCCGCTTGATCTTGGGTCAATCTCCGTCGGGTCAATCTCGGCGAATGGAGAGGTCAGCACCTACAGGCTCACGACGATGTGAAAGTCAGTCTCACAATGCTACAGAGATGTCGGGGGTGATGGGGGTATATGGGGGTATATGGGGGTATATGGGGGTATATGGGGGTATATGGGGTACATGGGGTACATGGGGTACATGGGGTACATGGGATTATACGGATAATGGGGTTATACGGATAATAGTCTTGAGCTTGAGTGAAAGAGGGCCAGGCACCATCCACGCAGAAAGAGGTGCGGAAGTCCCAACGGGGCCACCCGGGCGTCAAGCCGAGACTCGGCGATCATGTGTCAATCTACGCTTGATCTCGGGGTCAATCTCGGCGAACGGAGAGGTCAGCACCTACGGGATCATGACCATGTGAAAGAGGGTCAAAAACTGCTATGGAGATGTCCAGGGGGTATGTGGGGGTATGTGGGAGTATATGTGGGGGTATGTGGGGTATATGGGGTATATGGGTATATGGGGGTCACTGCCACACCTACGGGCAGCCAGGTCACTGCCACGCCTACGGGCAGCACGCCGCGGCGTTAGCGTCGCGACGACCGGCACACTCTCTCGTGTCCTCGGCGCTCGGACTGGAGCCGGGCAGCGATTGGCAAGCGAGCGGGCTGCGTCGCTCGGCTCTCGCCGGAAAAGAGTGGGGGCAATCGGGCGGGTTCGCTCGGTGTAAGGGTGGTGAACGAGCGGCAGCGGCCGCGTCTCGCGGCTCCTCGATGGCAGCAGCCTCACCTGCGAACGGGAGGTGGCAGGCATTGTGAGGCCGAGAGGGGGCGTAGCCACTCGGGCGCCAAAGCGAAGCGCATCGCATGGTGGGAGCGGAGAGGGAGCGGCGGGTTGCGTGAGCAAGAGGCGTCGCGCCGCTCGGGCGTGCAGCTCCCCGCGGCCATATGTGCGTCGATGCGGCGGGCCAGCGCGAGCGGAACGGGAAAGGCGAGGGTTGGACCTTGTGGTTGTCAAAGGCGTGGGGAACATGGGGAACAACGGGCTTTGTGACGCCGTTTACGCAATCGTTTTTTGGCTTCGCTTTCTCTTTTGCTTGTTTTTATTTTGTTTTTTCTTTTGCGAAGCGACGGGGGGGCGGGCGGGCGCTAACTATGGGCAACTACATGTCGAAGGTTCGAGGACGACTACTCGCCGCCTGGGTCGTTTGGGGCGCGCGGCTCCGTCGAGGACCGGGCGCGCCCCTTACCCGGCGCGGCGTAGGTCCCACTCTGACGTATAGAGGGGAGGCACGGACAACGGCCCAATTCATCAATTCCACTCATCTTCTGGAGCCTAGCCCCGTGCAGCGGCGGTCCGGCAGGCTGCCCCCAAGGCCCCCTGGGCCGCTGCGGGTTTTGGAGTTATGCTTTGATGGCACAGCTTCGGCGATGGCGGCCCCTCTCTGGGGCTTGCATAGGCGGGGAGTCTCCCCCGCTGGTCTCCTCGTTCCCTTTTTTCTTTTCTTTTGAGAGCAGGACGCCGGGTTTGTCTCGTATGTGCATGTCGGGCCTGGGTGTGTGGGCGGGGCAGCGAGCCCTTCCTGGTGGAGGCGCGCGCGATTCCGTGACTCTCCTTTTACGCGCCAATGTACCCTCACCGAAGGTGCATAGGAGTGAATCCGAGTGAAACTAGTCCGCCGATAACGATTGGGGTAGGGGCCCTAACTCGTGATAGGCCACTAGTTTCCCGCAGGAGACTCACCCTCTCCTCTCCTACCTCTTCTTCTGCCTCTGCGTCCTTCACGGACTCTCCGTGGACATCTTTTACTTCATCTTTTACGGAAGTTTGAACTTCCGTGCGTGTCGGGCGCTCCCGCCCGCTCGCTGCTCTGATGAGCGCGGCTTCCGCTGCTCTCTCCTGCTCACCTGGCCATGACGCCGCTCCTCGTCCTTGGCCGCGCCAGGCTCTCCTTCCTACTGCGCCAGCCCTTCGGCTGCATCAGTTCTTTCTTCTCCCCACCCACCCTATCCTGCCTACTCTCTGGTGGCTTTGGGGTGTGGTTCTCTCTATCTGGTCCGAGGTGCGATCCCTTACGGCGCCGCGGGCGGCTACAGGACGTTGAGGTCCCCTCCGTACCTGTAGCAACCCAAGCCGTTTGAGTCCCAACCCTCCGCCTTCAGTGGCAGGATCCCAGGGGATGTCAGGGATACTGCGTAGCCCTTCCTGGTGGAGGCGCGCGCGATTCCGTGACTCTCCTTTTACGCGCCAATGTACCCTCACCGAAGGTGCATAGGAGTGATCCGAGTGAAACTAGTGAGCGCTCTCAAAAAGAATTGTGGGCGACACCATGTCAGCGCTCGCTACGCTCGAGTCGCTCTCCCTCTCCTCGGGCGAAGAGCAGCTCGAGGAGGTCGTCAAAGGCGAGACGCTCGTGTGGCGGGACGTGCTGCCGACGCTCGACGCGGCGGCGGGCGAGATGGCGCTCGGCGACCTGTTGCACGGCACGTGCTTCTCGCTGCACGAAGCGATGTCGGCGCTGCAGATGTTTGACCCGCAGATGGACGCGGGGATGGCGACCGCGACGCAGCCGCCGCCGTCGCTGCCGCCGCCCGACCTCCCGCTGCGCGCCTTTGTCGCGCTCGCCGACGAGATGCTCTGTGGCGAAGTGGCGTGGTACGCGGGGCTGCCTCTGGTGCAGACGGTGTTTCGGCTCGACTGGCTGCACGCGACGCGCGAGCCGTGCGACGCGCGCCTCCGCGCGCTGATGCTGTCTGCGGTGCGGTCCGCCGCCGCGGTGCGCGCGCTCCTGCGGCCCCTGCAGCACGCTTCTCGGCAGCGTCTCTGTCCCATCGGTGGGCGGATCTTTGCGCGGAGTAGGTGCGCGCGCTCGTGCTGCGTGCGGACGTGTCGGACGAGGAGGACTTTGCTCCCTCCTCCTTCGGGATCGACCTCCGGGAGGACGTGGCGGCGGGAGAGGCGGAGAAGCTGCCGGAGGAGGAGGAAGAGGAGTAGCAGCAGCCTCGCTGCACCTTGCCGGAGCCATCCCCCCATAGGCGGAGAAGCTGCTGGCGGAGGAGGAGGAGCGGCTCGCGGCGCTGCTCGGCCCGCGAGGGGAGGGAGGCGGAGGCGAGGCGGCGGGCGGCGGCAATGGCGACAGCGGCGGCGACGGCGGCGGCGGCGGCGGCGGCGGCGGCAATGGCGGCGGCGGTGGCGAGTGCGAGTCTGCGGCGGTGGTGCAGGCAGCTCTATGCCGGCTGCGGCTGCGGCGGCACCTGCTCTCCGTCCGTGTTCTTTTTTTCGCGTCGCGATGTCTTTGTTCATCTTGTTTTCTTCTTCTAGGCACCTGCTCTGCCTCTTCGGCGCGCTGACCAGGCCGGGAGGCAAGGCGCTCGCGTAGACGATGATGGCGATGTTGATTGTGGTCCTAGCATCCATCTTCCGTGGACGAGAGGATGGCCCCGCCAAGACTCAGTGGACCAGATCGCGATCTCCCCGGAGGCCCCTTTCTGCGTGTCTGACTCTCTGCGGCGAAAGGAGATCTGGGGAGATCTGGGGAGATCTGAGTGTCTGACTCGTCTGCGGCGAAAGGCGCTCGAGGACAGCCGCGAGAGTGCGGCGAAGTGCGCGGCGCAGCTGTCGCTTGCGCGCGACAGCCTGCAGATCGGCTCCCCGCCTTCCGAGCTCGACTGCCTTGCCGGCCGTGCGAGCGCCCACCTGCTGGGCTCTTCTATTCACAGCTCTTCTATTCACAGCTCTCCTATTCACAGGTGCGAGCGCCAGGCTGCTGGGCTCCGCGCCGCAGCGCAAGGTGGACGCCCCCTGACCCTGACCCCTCACCCTCACCCACCCCCACCCTCACCCCCACCCTCACCCCCACCCTCACCCTCACCCTCACCCTCACCCCCACCCCCACCCTCACCCCACCCCCACCCCCTCACCCACAGGTGGACGTCCCTTCGCGTGCGGCGGCGCTGGAGCGGCTCGAGGACCTGCCTCGCCCAGCTGCAGCCCGCCTTCTTCCTGGCCTCGCGCCCTCACCTCCCCTGGGCCCCTAACCCTAGGCCCTCCTCGCCCAGCTGCAGCCCGCCTTCTCCATCGGCGCCGTCACAGACCTGGACGGCCTCTTCCGCTGGTGCCGCTCCACCGTCAGGCGGCAGCGAGTCCTCAGTCGTGGTTGATTACGGCGCCGGTGAATGGACGAAGGTGCCGCTCCGCCGTCGGGCCGAGCGGCGTCGGCGTGATCGCGCGCTCGTACGCCGCTGCTCGCGGCGAGTCGAGGCTCGCGCGACTCTTCTCGGAGGCGTCACACTGGTCGGGCGTAGGTACGCGCTGCTCGCCGGAGGGACGGGCGAGGCTAAAAAAAGAAAAGCTCACTTTTCTTTTTTCTCGTAGGTACGCGCTGCTCGCCGGAGGGACGGACGAGCGATGCTCGCTCGGGCTCCGCCCGCCCCTCGGCCCTTGTGTGTGGGAGGCATTCGTGACGCTGTCGGGGCTTCCCCGCGACACGAGCCGCGAGCTGTCGAAGCTCGAGCCGTGCGCAGAGCGGCTGGGGCAGCTGGCGCAGGCGGTGCAGGCGCTGCTGCGGCTGCGCTGCCACAACCGCGCCCGCGAGCGGCGGCGCATCCGCCACTTCCTACCACACCACCCACGGACCTGAACCCACACTGGGTTCGATACTCTGGAGGTATGGTACTAGGCGCACCCGCCACTTCCTCTCCGATTGGGCGCCGCTGCAGGACGGGGAGGAGGGCGGACTCAGCAGTGGTGGGTGGTGTGATTGGTGGTTGGCCCCTCCTTGAACCAGGCGCCGCTGCAGGAGTTGGCCGACGACCTCGACGGGCAGCTGCAGCGGGCGGGGCTGCTGCAGCCAGGCGTGCAGCCATACGGGATCTGGGTGCTGGTGCAGACGCTGCAGACGGTGCGCCGCGTCCTGCTGCTCGGGGTTGAGCGAACTAAGTAACAGCGAATCAACTGCGAATTAAGGTGCGCCCGCTTCCTGCTGCTCGGGGTTGAGCTGAATTCACTGCTAATTAGCTGCGAATGGACTGCTATTAAGGTGCGCCGCTTCCTGCTGCTCGGGTTCGAGTTGGAGCTCTATCATCACTGCGAGCTGCAGGCAGTTAATTAGCAGTTAGCAGTTGATTCGCAGTCGATTCGCAGTCGATTCGTAGTCATTTACCTACCACGGCTGCGAGCTGCAGATGGTGTTCTGGTACAGCGAGTGCCTCTGCGACTTGCGGCTGCAGCTGCACGCCGTCTGCCAAAAGGCGGGAAGGCGTGCAGGCGGCGGGCGTCCACACACACTTCTGCGTTCATGTGTGCCCATCCGTACTCAGGCCGCGGGCGTGCAGGCGACGGGCGTGGCGGCGGCAGCAGCGAGCGGCAAGAAGGAGAAGCCGGGCAAGAAGAAGAACAGGGGTGCCGAGAGAGGAAAGGCAGCGACCGCCGGTGGCGGGACGCGCCCAAGACATGTCCTGGACATGTCTTGCAGGTGCCGAGAAGGGGCCGCAGCGTCCTCCGGTGGCAGGTAGCCCCGCGACGCGCCAGGAGGCGCGGCGGCTCTGCTTTGCGAGATGACAGCGACGCGTTCCTATTCGGAGTGGTGCTCTTCTATTCACAGCTCTTCTATTCACAGCTCTTCTATTCACAGCGACTCATTCCTAATCGGAGTGGTGCTCTTGCGACTGCCGGCAGGTGCTGCTCTGCCTAGAGACGCGCGAGGCTAGGGAATGAGAGTTAATTCATGAGGCAGCTGATCCATGAGCGGTTCATTCATGGGCAGCTGATTCGCAGGTGCTGCTCTGCCTGGCGACGCGCGAGGTCTGCTCTGGCCTCGTCACGCTGCTCTCGCTGCTGCAGAGGCTGCAGCAGCTCCCCTTCCGCCCCTCCCGCCCCCCCCCACCAGCCACCCCCACCCCCCACCCCTCCTTCCCCTCCCTCCCCCCGCCCCCCCTCCCCCGCCCCCCCCCTCCCCCTCCCTCGCCATGAGTGGCTTGGCGCCGCTCGGACGGCGCTCGGACGGCGGAGCGGAGCAGAGCCGGGGCAGTTGCTGCACCGCATACTCCATGTCCCCAGGTCCTCTGTCTGGCACCCCACTGCCTGCTTTTCGCACTCGCACCTCCTCGAGTCGCTGACTGATCACTCCGCCACCACTGACGAGTCAATCAGGCTGCAGTTCGCGCCCGGGCCGGACCTCGAGTTTACGCACCTCAGCCGCCGCTTCGAGCAGCGCTTCGGCTTCCTCGCCACGCTCAGCCGCCAAGCGCCGCCATGAGTTAGTAGCTAAGAGTGACACTAATCCATAGGCTTCCTCGCCACGCTCAGCCGCCCGGCGCCGCTTCGTGTCGAGCAGTTCCTAGGAAGTGTCTAGGAAATGGCTAGGAAGTGTCTAGGAAATGTCTAGGCGCCGCTCCGCGTCGAGCAGTTCCGAGAGCAGCGCGAGGCACTCGCGCGCCGATCGTCCGACGAGATTGTGCAGACGGCTCTCACCGCGTTCAAGGCGGCCAAGTCGGCCGTCGAGCAGGCCTTCTAGGAACCTTCTAGGAACCTTCTAGGAGCCTTCCTGTAGGCGGCCAAGTCGGCCGTCGACCAGGCGCTGCACTTCCTAGACACTTCCTAGACACTTCCTAGACACTTCCTAGGCAGTTCCCAGACTACCTGCAAGTCGGCCGTCGACCAGGCTAGACACTTCCTAGACACTTCCTAGACACTTCCTAGCCAAGTCGACCGACCAGGCGCTGCAAATGATGGGACCGGAGTTCATCACTAGTAATGTGTGATGCGCAACTGGCGTCGGCCAGGCGCTGCACGCGCCCGACGGCGGACCGAGCCCCGACGAGAAGGCGGAGCTCACCTCGCTGGCGAGATCGGAGCCGAGATGCAGCCGAGGTCTAGCCGAGATCCACGAAGACACTTCCCGGACGTGTCCCTTAGGCGCGCGTCTCGGTGGCCAACTCAGTGCTCGTCGCCTCGGCGCTCAAGGCGCCGCCGCCGGCGGGCTCGCGCGTCGCTACCTTCAGCTTCGCCACCCACCCGCATTTCCCGCTCGTCAAGCTCGAGGCGGCAAAGCCGCCGGCGGGCGGGGCGTGACGCGGCGCGGCCCGGCCAGCGCCAGGTGAGGAGGGGGTGGGGCGGGGGGGGGGGGGGGGGGGGGAGATGTTTCAAGTTTCGACAGTGGAGTTCGATGCGACAGCCAGCCTTGCCAACAAAAAGATTTTTCATAACATCGAAGGTTAGCTCAAAACATATACAAAACGCCACCTCAGACGACAAGTCACATCGGTAGACGGTAGTCGGTACACCAAGTCCACCACCGGTGGGAGCCGCCTAAGCGACGCTCCGTTATACCGTTAAAAGCGGCAAGATGCATCTGCTCCGTGCACAATGCCGCTCTCCCCGATATGCGCCGTGCTCTTGCTCGCCTCGCTCTCATGGTCGCTCCATGCTCAGTGGCGGCGGCGCGACGGGGGCGGCGACGCCGCCGCCGGCTTCTTCTCCGGCTGCAGCACCAGCTCGATCAGATCGATGAGCATGGTGATGCTCATCTCCTTGCCAGGGCACTCGCGGCCGTCCGACCTGGCGTCGACCGCGTCGTCGACGCCGTCGCCATCCACACCGCCCCACGAGTTGAAGTTGGGGTAGGGGCAGCCGGGGTAGCCCTCGAGGAGCTTCGCGTGCGCCTCGGGCTCAAACTTGCCCGCGTCCTCTCCCCACACGGCCGTGTCGAAGTTGGAGGCGACAAAGTTGATGTGGACGGCCGTGCCCTTGGGGAAGACGACGGGTTCGCCGCCGCCGCTGCCGCCGCCCGCCACCGCCAGCTTGGCAAGTTGCGGGCACTTGAGCGGCTTGGGCATCGTGAGGCCCGAGCCGAAGACTGCGGGCTGCATGCGCATCGTCTCGAGCACCTGCAGGCGCATCTTGGCGCGGTCGCCGTAGCCCCACGCGTACTGCGTTGGCGGCTCGTACCTTTTGCACTCGGGGATGTAGCCCTTGTAGTTGGCGAGCAGGTGCGAGGCCGCGCCGAGCGGCCCCTGCAGGCCCGCGAGCCCGAGCACCGTCACGAAGGCGTCGAGGAAGTCGTCGAGGCGGACAGGCTCGGCGGCGTCCGAGTAGCCCTGCAGCGCAGGCGACGCCTTGTAGATGGCGATCGCCTTGGCGCGCCGCTTGGGCAGCGCCGCCATCGTCGGGCTGCCCGTGGCCTCGAAGAGGTTGCCGACGTACCGCATGAGGATGACAATGAAGGACGCGTCGCTCAGCGCCGGCGACGGCGAGTAGTACAGGCTCCACAGGTCGTCAAACTGCTCGTCGCTCAGATCGAGGCCAAAGAGCGCGTAGTGCATGTAGCGCAGCATGAAGCCGGCGAGGCCGTCCTGGCTCTTGGTCCAGACGGACGACGACTCGCCCGAGAGCACCACCGGCCGCAGGTTGGCAAAGAGCCGCCGCGTCACGGGGTCGCTCGTCGACTGCCGCTTGGTCGTGCCCTCGGTGATGAGGTACTTGAAGATCATCTGGCGCAGGTGCGCGTGGCGGGCGGAACCCTCGGCCCACTCGCCGCCCAGCCCGTTGGGCAGGGCCAGCAGGAAGAGGTTGTGGCCGTCCGGCGAGCGTGGCAGCTTCTCCGGACGCAGCCACGCCTGGCCGAGCGCCGGCCCACCGTCCTGCGGCGACGTCATCATCAGCTTCATCGTCTCCGGGTGCGCCATCTCCACCTTCATGTTGTCGCACCACCACTCACCAATTGTGCTGCGGAACTCCTTGATCATCGTCGTGCCGTAGCCGGCCACGTCGTGGATGCTAACCAGAGGCCTCAGGCAGCAAAAGAGGTTCTGCTCGGCAAACGGGTGGCGCAGCAACCACGACTGCAGCTTGTGGCAGAGCACGTACTTGGTTGGCCGCCACGTCTCGTCCTTTAGTTTGTAGGTCATCGCCGGGGTGCACAATTTGCAAGGGCAGCAGCAGAAGGCCGCGACCGGCACGCAGCAATCGGTCACGCACGTGACGAGGCACGTGACATTACTCTCGTACGGCATCTCGTCGGCATACAGGACACTGGCCGGGCCGAAGTCGACCATATCGGGCACCTGCGTGTAGGTCATGCATGGGCGCCAGGCGCCACTTATGGACCCGCTGTCCTCCGCGCGCTTCTGCGCTACGTAGCCTGTGGTTGGAGGCGGGACCTTTGGTCGCGCCGGCATCGTGGCTTGACCTGAGTCACCGAGCCGTTCACGTCGCCCCCCGTTTCTTGTCCTGGGACGGCTCCTCAACGCAGTCGGCAAACGGGTGGACTCAACTCAGCAATCGGCGCCGACCGTTGAGGAGCCGTTCACGTCTCGAGTACCCAGGCGAAAAAAGAGAGAGTGTGTGTGTGTGTGTGTGTGTAAAAAAGCGCCATCGCAACTGCCATGTCGGCAGGTTGTCGGCTGGTGCTCTCGCCTCGCTGGCGGCGCGGTCTAGTGCCGCGGCTCCGAGCCCTCCTGTGGGCCCGCGGCGGCTCGCCGCGGCGGTTGTGAACAATGGGATCGGTCCGGGTTCATCCCGGCGTGCAGCCGGTGCCGCTTCTTCGGCGAAATTTTGCTCAGCTGTTTGTCGACAAAGCTGTGCCCGAGCTCCTGCTGCTCGACTGCGCGGCGGAACCGGCCCCTCGAGGCTGAGATGTGAGGCGCCGGCACCGGGGCTACAACGCGGGGCCATCTCCGGGCTGTCTCGGGATATCTCAAAATTGGCGCCTCTCTCTGCTGCTGCTGCTGCTGCTGGTGGTGCTGCTGCTGGTGCAGATGCTGCTGCTGGTGCGGCGCGGCTCTCCGACTCGACTCGCCGCGGGCGTCGCGGGCATCTGACGCGGCGGGCGGCGTCGCGGGCGGCAGCGATCGCGGCTCCCTCGACGGTGGAGGTGGAGGCTGGAGGCGCTGTGGTGGACCTTTGAGTTTATTTAATGGTGGAGTACGAGGACTGGGGGTTCAACCGGGAGGCAGGGGGTTCGACCTGGGGACGGAGGACCGTGGGCCATCGCGGGGACGGACCCGCCCGGAGGGCGCGTCCGGTAGATCCGGATGGTCTCAACCGGTGGAAGGCACCGAGGCGTCTGAGAGGCTCCACTCTACCTTAGCTCCTGAGGGGCGCGTGGTTGTAACCACGTAGTATGACTACAGCCCACCACAGACACCCTCCCCACTCCTCACGTGTGCACACTCCCTCACCCTCTCCTCTCTCCTCTCTCTCTCTCTCTCCTCTCTGTCTCTCTCCTCTCCTTGTCTGTGCTGTCTGCCTGACTCAGGCACTGAACCTGCCGATGCGTGATTGTGTGTGGGCTGCTCCGAGGGGGCCCTGTGCGATCCGACGGGTAGGGAGTCTGTGCCCGGGCGGTGTCCGGTGTGGAGTCTCTCTCTGATCCCACCTGTGGTGTTGGGTGTGAGGTCGTGGAAGCTTCGATCCCAAGGGGGGGAGCCGATCCACTCGTAACCAACTGTACTCTCAGGGGCAGTAGGTGGGCGAGCCTCGAGCGCGCTCATCTCGATCGTCAAGGCGTCGCTACGCGCGGTCTTCCGCGGGGGGAGCTTCGTCGACGGGTGCGGGACCGCGGCGCGGCTGGTGCTGCGGCGATGCCTCCGGCTGTTTGCGGCGGGCGGCTTGCTGCTCGCGGCGATGGCGAAAAACTCGTCTCGTCGCACACCAAGAGCTTACGCTCTGTCGAGACGTGAGGCGTATGCGCCCAGGAGGGGAGGGCGCATGCGTAACGACGCTGCTAGAGATGCCTTTCGGGGCCCAGAGATAAAACTTCTGATGCCATGCGTGACCTAGCAGTGTCCCCAGCTATGGGCGTGTCCACGTTGGAGCCAGGTGTGGTGTGGGCGCGAGAATAGCTCCGCCGTTCATGGAGGCAACCGATGCGAGTCGACTGGTGTGTGTCGTCGTGGTTTCGTATCCTGAGCCCTGGTCTGACAGCCTGACAGCAAGCCCCGGACAGCGCCTGACAGTGCCCGACAGCCTGACAGCGCTGACAGCACTTTCTCTGACAGTCAGACAGCACGTATCTGACAGCCTGACAGCAGAGTCTGACAGGCGAGGTGCTCCGTCGCTGTCAGGCCCTAACGTGACAGCCTGACAGCTGCCTGACAGCCCGACAGCACACAGTGGCCTGACAGCAGCTCTGACAGCCCGACAGCAGCACAGACCGTCCTACACAGTCAGACCCCGTAGAGCCTCTTTCTTGTGCCCCATGAGGGTATAACAAAACTATTACATGCAAAGACATGTGAGTGTGGTCCATGTAGTCATGGGATGGTCATGGGTCTCTCTCTCAACCCTCCCTCCCCACCGCTCTGCGGACCCCTCTCTAGCACCGGCGGCTGTGCTACTACAAATGAAGCTACCACAGCTAGCCTTCTGGGGCCCTACAGTCATATGCCTAGGGCGTCTGGGTGGGGGTGGCCGCCGCCGTCTGTGCCGCCGCCGCCGCCTGCGCCTGCGCCGCCATCTGCGCTCCCCAGGCGGCGGCGGCCGCCGGCGTGATCACGCCGTAGGAGGGGGGCAGCTGGGTAGCCGCCGCCGGCGTCATCGGCGTCAGCGCCCCCGCCACCACCCGGCTCCTCTTGATAGTGTCATAAGTGTGGCTGGTGTGTTCAGGCTCTGACAGCACCCCGACAGCGGACCACCCGACAGCACCTGACAGCAACAGCCCAACGTCTGACAGCAGCAGCAGCCTGACAGCTCTGACAGCTCCGACAGCGTCTGACAGCAACACCCGACAGCTCCGACAGCACCCGACAGCTACAGAGCACCTCGCCTGTCAGACACGCACCCGACAGCACCCGACAGCACTGACAGCACCTGACAGCTGGTCTGACAGGGCTTCGCCGCCGCCGGCTTCCGCTTCGGCGGCTTCCTCCCCCGCGCGGGCCGCGGTCGCGGCGCGAGGCGCTCGCGGCGCTCTTGGCGGGCGAGAGAGCGGCGGTGCTGTACGAGTCCCCGCACCGGGTGGTTGGCCGCCAAGGAGGTGGGCGAGCGGCGCTGCCTCGCCGCGCGCGAGCTGACCAAGCTGCACGAGGAGACGGCGCGCGGCACCGTGTCCGAGCTCGCGGCGCGGTACGCGGCGGCGCAGGACGAGGCGGGCAAGCTGCGCGGCGAGTTCACGATCGTGCTAGCGCCGCTCGCCGAGGAGGAGGTGGCGGCGCGGGCGAGCGAGGCGCGCGACGCGGCGCAAGACGAGGCGCGCGACCAGCTCAGGGAGCGGCTGGTGACCGGGCAGCCGCTCTCGAGAGCGGTGCGCGAGGTGGCGGCGGCGGTGGGCGCGCGGAGGGACGCGGTCTACCAGATTGCCCTCGAGCTCAAGGACGGCGGCCAGGAGTGAGGAAGGGTCCGCGCGCTTTACTGTATGGACAAATTATATGTGCCGATCTTTTCACGCGCAGGCCGCTGACACAACATACAGACAACGTACTACCCGACGGCCTCTCGCGACGGCGCCCGCTGGCGGCGGGGTCGCGCGCGCACACACCTCTGACCTCAACTCCACCGCCGCCTCTGTACCTGTTTCTTCAAGTTCTTCTCGAGAGTCTTGAGGTTGGCGCGTGCCTCCTCAGCCGAGACCGCTGCGGTCGCATGCAGTGCGTAGTGCGCCGTGCCGCTCATGCCTTTGGCGGCCGCGATGAAGCCGCAAAGCTTGTCGACGACCACGCCGGCCACTGTGGCACTGAAGCTCGCCCCTTGCTCCTCCACGAGCACCCTCAGGCGGCCTTCGTCTAGCGCGTACCGCGCCACCTCGCGCCGCACCTGCGCTTCGAGGCTCAGCTCCACTGAAGAGGCACCGGCCGCGATCTCGCAATTCCCTCCCTCTTCGGGGCTGGGGCTGCCGCTAGGGCTGCCGCAGCTGTCAGCTTCGTAGTCCGGTCCTTGTCCGCGGCTAGCGGTCGGGCTGCTGGACCGGGCTGGCAAGGAGCTGCTGCAGCTGGGATGCGAGGTACATCCTTCCGGCGGTGCCTGTGGCGCTGCCGCACCGAGCGAGCCGACCGCTCGCTCCAAGTAGGCTTGACGCTCATCGGCCGTGTTCAAGCCGTCCCACTCATAGAATGGAACGCTGATTACCCTCCAGCCAGCCGCGGCGAGGAGGCGCCGCTTGAGCTTCGTTGGGCCGTTGGGCGCGCGCACGCCTTGGCTATCGGGCAGTAGGAAGTGAGACGGGCCGTCCACCTCGATCGCGATGTGTGAGGAGGGCAGCGCCAGATCGAGCGAGTAGCCGGTGCGCGGCTCGAGATACTCCTCCTCGAAGCCGGACCGGACGGCGCTAAGGGCATCCGAGACCGAACGCTGCAAACCAGAGGGGCGAGCTACGGTCATCTGCATGGCCTCGCGAAAAAGCAGGCGCTGAGAGTCGGAGAGGAGATGCTGCTGCTCTTCTGCGCCGCGTTCAAGGAAGAGCCAGAGCTGCCACTGGTGCAGCTGGGAGCGGGCCTCGATGCTCCACCTCGACGGATTCCGCGCGAGCGAGTCGCTGATCACGCGCGAGCAATCGGCTAGTAGCACCTGGTGGTAGTGGCCCGCCGTCGCATACGCCCACACCGTGTTGGACAGGTCCTGAGGGTTGAAGCCAGCCAGCCCGCCGCGCACCGCCGCCTCTGCCACCGCCGCGTACAGCGCGTCTGCAGCCACGCCCGCCGTCGCATACGCCCACACCGTGATGGCCAGATTCTGAGCGTTGAAGCCAGCCAGCCCGCCGCGCACCGCCGCCTCCGCCACCGCCGCGTACAGCGCGTCTGCAGCCACGCCCGCTGTCGCATACGCCCACACGGTGTTGGACAAGTCCTGCGGGTTGAAGCCAGCCAGCCCGACGCGCACCGCCGCCTCCGCCACCGCCGCGTACAGCGCGTCTGCAGCCACGCCCGCCGTCGCATACGCCAACACGGTGTTGGCCAGGTTCTGAGGGTTGAAGCCAGCCAGCCCGCCGCGCACCGCCGCCTCCGCCACCGCCGCGTACAGCGCGTCTGCAGCCACGCCCGCCGTCGCATACGCCCACACCGTGTTGGCCAGGTTCTGAGGCTTGAAGCCAGCCAGCCCGCCACGCACTGCCGCCTCCGCCACCGCCGCGTACAGCGCGTCTGCAGCCACGCCCGCCGTCGCATACGCCCACACTGTGTTGGACAAGTCCTGCGGGTTGAAGCCAGCCAGCCCGCCGCGCACCGCCGCCTCCGCCACCGCCGCGTACAGCGCGTCTGCAGCCACGCCCGCCGTCGCATACGCCCACACGGTGTTGGCCAGGTTCTGCGGGTTGAAGCCAGCCAGCCTGCCGCGCACCGCCGCCTCCGCCACCGCCGCGTACAGCGCGTCTGCAGCCACGCCTGCCGTCGCATACGCCCACACTGTGTTGGCCAAGTCCTGCGGGTTGAAGCCAGCCAGCCCACCGCGCACCGCCGCCTCCGCCACCGCCGCGTACAGCGCGTCTGCAGCCACGCCCGCCGTCGCATACGCCCACACCGTGTTGGCCAGCGCCTGCGGGTTGAAACCAGCCAGCCCGCCGCGCACCGCCGCCTCCGCCACCGCCGCGTACAGCGCGTCTGCAGCCACGCCCGCCGTCGCATACGCCCACACAGTGTTGGACAAGTCCTGCGGGTTGAAGCCAGCCAGCCCGCCGCGCACCGCCGCCTCCGCCACCGCCGCGTACAGCGCGTCTGCAGCCACGCCCGCCGTCGCATACGCCCACACAGTGTTGGACAAGTCCTGCGGGTTGAAGCCAGCCAGCCCGCCGCGCACCGCCGCCTCCGCCACCGCCGCGTACAGCGCGTCTGCAGCCACGCCCGCTGTCGCATACGCCCACACGGTGTTGGCCAGGTTCTGCGGGTTGAAGCCAGCCAGCCTGCCGCGCACCGCCGCCTCCGCCACCGCCGCGTACAGCGCGTCTGCAGCCACGCCTGCCGTCGCATACGCCCACACTGTGTTGGCCAAGTCCTGCGGCTTGAAGCCAGCCAGCCCGCCGCGCACCGCCGCCTCCGCCACCGCCGCGTACAGCGCGTCTACAGCCACGCCCGCTGTCGCATACGCCCACACCGTGTTGGCCAGGTTCTGAGCGTTGAAGCCAGCCAGCCCGCCGCGCACCGCCGCCTCCGCCACCGCCGCGTACAGTGAGCGCACCACACTCACTGGTAGCCGGCACTTTGCCACTCCGTGAGCGATGTTTGCCAGGTTGCGTGCTTCGCATGCCGGTATGAGTTCGAGCGTGCGCTTCACCAGCCGCTCTAGCTGCTCCTCGTGCCGCCGCTCGATGCGCTGCTTGCCGAGTTTGTTCCACAGGTTCGCAGCGTGGATGTTATTCAAACTTGTGCTGTTGGCAGCGCAGAGCGAGAGCAGCTCGTCAGCGTTGCTGGCATGCGAGATGTGGCCGTTGAGTTGCCTGGCATTGAGCTGACCACCGGCAGCAGAGCGGCCAGATGAGGGCGGCTCGTTGCACACTGCCGGATTTGGCCGGCGTGAGGGCGACTGCGGCGGACCGCCTGTCCTCGGCGGCGGTGGCAGCGGCGACGACCCGCCCGGAGGCGGCTGAGGCGCCAACCGTGGCGGCGGCGGCGGGCGCTCATTGCGCCATCGCGGCTCGTCGCGCCATCGTGGCTCGTCGCGCCGTCGCGGCTCGTCGCGCCGTCGCGGCTCGTCGCCCCGTCTTGGCTCGTCACGCCAGCGAGACTCGCCGCGCCGCCAGCTATTCTGACCGGGCGACTCGTCGCGAGGCCTCTTGAAGCCGGACCCGCGCATGCTGTGAATCGATGTACTCGCGGTTTCTTCTTTTTCCCTTCGAGGAGTTTATTTATTTGCTTATTACCGCTCGTGCCCTGTTTGTTTCTCTTGGCACCTTGGAGTGCTGGGGGGGGCGACAGGAGGAATGTGGCACTGAGTTATGTGTACGCCAACTCAGGGTGTGTGGCAGCCGGCTGGCTGTGTGTCTTGTGAGCTTGTTTGTGTCTGTGTGTCGTTCGTGCGTGTCGTCATCATCTGTCTCGCGTCCACCCATACCGCGCTGGTGTCCAGTCCGAGCCTGGCTGTTCTTCACCTTTCTACCTACCTACCTACCGCTCGTGCATCTTCAATCGTCGTCGGACTTCACAGATAACTTGCTCTTCACACTTTGTGTCTTCACAGATGAGACGTCCTAACTTATTTACTAACTGTGGTAGGCTCTTACCTTGGCTCTTCACAGATGACATGTCCTCACTTATTTTTTTTAATTGCTTGAGGCTGTTCACATGTCGACCCTTGGCAGATGACGCGTTCTCGCTTCTTTATTAGTTACCGTAGGGGATTTTGTGTAATTGGCCGAGGTTCTTCACAGATAACACGGCCTCAATAATTTATTAATTGATGGAACTTAAAAACCTGACACGTCCTTACTTCTTATTTAATCGCGGGACTTCACATGTCGGCACTTGACAGATGAGACGTCCTCACCTCTTTTGTAATTGCTGGAGGCTCTTCACAAGTCGGAACGACTGGAGTGGACTCTCAAAACCATAGCCTGTGATCCGACAGGTCAGAATGTGTGACGTGGGTCACTTTGGGCCACGGCCCTCACTCCGAAATAGGTGCAGCGCGATCAGCGCTGAGCTGCTGATAAAGTGTAGTGGAAGTGGCTGGTGTAAATTACTTGTGTGTTAATGATTAATTATCAATAGTATGTATCCCAGAATTCCGTTGGGGGGAAGTATTCAGTCGAGGGTAGTGAGGGTCCAGCTGGGTGGTGTAATTACTTATTTATTAGTTAGTGATCAGGACAATAATTATTAATTATTAATCATCGAGCGGCGGCGCGGAGCGGCGGCGGGCGGCGCGGCGGGGCGGCGCGGCGGCGGGCGACGCGGAGCGGGGCGGCGCGACCATCAGCAGACGCCCAGGCCTTTGGCTGCTGGAGCTCGGCAATGGCCGCGCCGCCCTCGACTCAAGGGGCTGCCTTCCACGCGTCGCTGCTCAGGCCGGGGGAGGGCGGGAGACCTCCCGTTCCTCGCGGAACGGGAGCAGGCCCCTCCTCGCCCGGTCTGCGAAGCAGGGCGGTGGTCGTGCCACCTCCGCTTCACAACGACCACGCCGCAATCGTCGCCGGCGCGCGACACGTTTCCGTTGGCGGGACTGTCCTGGTCGAGAGTGTGTGCCGCCGAGGCGGGACCACTCGGGGACAGTGCTGACGGGACGCGGCTTGGGAGACGACTCCCGCGAAAGCACGGCTGGCATCCGTGGCGTGGGGCTCGCCTCCGAAAAGTCGGGCATGGCTCTCCCCGCAACTCTCTTGCTAACACGCGTGCCCCACCGAAACTGTGGTGGGCGCGCTGCGGCCGCACGTCTACCTCCGTCATAGTGCCACGACGTGCGGCCTAGATTTAGCACACGCGCCTCAGCTCGCAAACACTCACCCATTTGATTGTCACTGTCCGTGAGTGCGAGATTAGGGCTAGCCGCAGGCAGCTAGCCCATGAGGAGAGCGTCCATAGACACCTCACTAGACCCCACATACGGTCTCGTCCGTGCCTCGCAGGCCGGTGAGATTGCTAGAGGCGGAGCGAGCTGCTCTAGCCTCACATGTCACTTCTTGTCGTCTGTTGTTTGAGTTGTGCCCTTGTTTGTGCCCTTGGCACCGTGGAGTGCTGGGGGGGGCGACAGGGAGGATGTGGCCCTGAGTTATGTGTACGCCGACTCAGGGTGTGTGGCAGCCAACCTGGTTTGTGGAGCTCCCGCAACTGTCCTGACAGTCCTGACAGAGTCCTGACAGAGTCCTGACATAGTCCTGACAGAGTCCTGACAGAGTCCAGACAGAGTCCTGGCGGGGTCCTGACGGCGCACGGTCTTCACAGTGCTCACAAGTGCCTCCGAAGAGACTTCCACCTTCCTTCACTGCAACCCTCCTTCCCCTCCCCCCCAGCAGTGAATGATAGACGCCCAGCCCCCCTTTCGACCGTGCGCGCCCTCTGCGGAATCGTCCTGATGGGGCAGTCCTGACGCAAACTTGAGAGTCCTGACAAGCAAACTTGAGAGTCCTGACAGAAACTTGAGAGTCCTGACAGAAACTTAGAGTCCTGACAGACAAAAGAAATCACCGTGGGTCTCGCGCCACTCGGCCGACCATGAAAAGCGCACAAGCGAGAGGCGCGGCCATTGTGCAGGCAACGTTACAGCCGGCAACGTGCATAGGCAGCAAAGCTCGGCCACGACGTCCATGGCCCGCGCGCCCCCGATTTGCCACCGGCAACCTGCAGGCCAGGCTGACTGACTGCTGACCGAGGCAGCGCCCACGGCAGCGCCCACGGCAGCGCCCACAGCAGCACCCACGGCAGCACCCACGGCAGCGCACACGGCTTGGCTGGCCATGTCAGCCGCGCAGGGACCCTCCCGCGGGTCCAACCCGAAGCGCTCGACCGCTCGACAGCGCAAGTCGGCTGACGGAGCGAGCCGCATAGCCCTCCAGTGCTCACCGCAGGATCAGGCCTGACCGGCCCACGCTCACGGCCTGGCCTGCCTGTGGACCAGCAAACTCGTTGGCTGTACGCGAGGAAAGAGCTGCGTGGCTGGGTCGATACCGTCCCCGTGCGCCCTTTCCCTCAGTGGAGGGCCGTCCCTGCCCTCGGGAGTAACTCGACTGTACACCCCTCCCTACTCTCTAGCTAAGGGCTCTATTCACAGCGGGGACAGTGGTTGTCCTGGCGGAGTCCTGACGGAGTCCTGACAGAGTCCTGACGGAGTCCTGACAGAGTCCTGACAGAGTCCTGACAGAGTCCTGACGGAGTCCTGACAGAGTCCTGACGGAGTCCTGACAGAGTCCTGACGGCCTATTTTGGAGTTTTTCAACTTTGAGGTATTGTAACTATGTGAAGGCACTATGAATGCATCAGTTCTTTGGGAGAGTGCAATCCATTTAGTTATTACCTCCAACTCAAAAAAAGTCTGGTGGCAAACGGGCAATGGGGTCCCTTATGGTGGCCTCTAAGGGTAAGTTGCGGGAGCTCCACAAACCAGGTTAGTCCAGCTGGCTGTGTGTCTTGTGAGCTTGTTTGTGTCTGTGTGTCGCTCGTGCGTGTCGTCATCATCTGTCCAGCGTCCACCCATACCGCGTTGGTGTCCAGTCCGAGCCTGGCTGTTCTTCACCTTACTACCTACCTACCTAGGAGTTTAAGCTCGGAGAAGATGCGAAAAAGGTAGAGGGCCGACCCAGTGCACCCCAAGGAGCTCACGGACGGACGGCAAGCAGTCCGATCCAGTTGAGAGTACTAAACAACAGGAGAGGCACCGTCGCGGCGGTTCCAAGGGGAGAGCAGGGCCACTGCAGTGCTCCGCTACTCTGTCTCGCGCGTGATCGCGAAGCGCAGCACGCACGTGACAAAGTCGCGCGCCGCGATGCCGTTCGTGTTTCCTGCCGAGTCGAGATGGTGCCGCTCGTGGATCTCGTAGAGCGAGAGGACGAGGAGCGCCGCCCGCGCGCGCGCCGCCGCGGGGAAGAGCGAGTGGCTTGCCGGCGACCACGGCGCCGCCGCCCGCCGGACCAGCGCCGCCGCCTCGCCCGCGCCGCCCGCGGCGCGCTGCAGCGGCGTCGGCTCGCCCTCGTGCAAGCTTGCGCCGCTGCGCAGCAGGGAAAGCGCGCGGGCGGCGGTGAGGGTCTCAAGGTGCGCGAGCGGCGTCCAGCGGCGGCTGGCGACCAGCCAGGCGGCGAGGTCGGCGTGGCCGCGGCGGTTCGCGACCTCCTCGGGCGTGCCAAAGGGCGGCACCGCGGCGCGGGAGGCGCCGTAGGAGGAGAGGAGCTTGGCGACCTCGAGGTGGCCGAAGTGGCACGCGATGAGCAGCGGCGTGCTGCCAGCGACACGGGCTTGGTCGACCGCCGCGTTGGCCTCGAGAAGCAGCCCGGCGCACTCGAGGTGGTTGTTCTGGCACGCGATGTACAGCGGCGTGGCGCCGTCCTCATCGGCCTGATTGACCGCCGCGCTGGCCTCGAGGAGCAGCCGAAGGATTTCAGCGTGGCCCTCCTGGCACGCGATGAATAGCGGCGTGGTGCCATCATGCATGGCCTGGTTGATCGCCGCGCCGGTCTCGAGGAGCAGCCGGGCGCACTCGACGTGGCCCTCTTGGCACGCCACGGACAGCGGTGTGGCGCCGTCCACCGCGGCCTGGTTGACCGAAGCGCCAGCGTCGCGCAGCAGCCGGACGATGTCGAGGTGGCCGTTCTGGCACGCGATGTACAGCGGCGTGGTGCCATTCTCGTCGGCTTGGTCGATCGCCGCGTCAGCCTCGAGGAGCAGCCGGGCGATGTCAACGTGGCCCTCATAGCACGCGATGTACAGCGGCGTGGTGCCATCATGCAAGGCCTGGTTGATCGCCGCGCTGGCCTCGAGGAGCAGCTGGACGGTCTCGAGGTGGCCCTTCTCGCACGCGATGTACAGCGGTGTGGCGCCACTCTCCTGGGCTTGGTTGATCGCCGCGCCAGCCTCGAGAAGCAGCGCGGCGATCTCGGGGTAGTCCTCCTGGCACGCGATGAACAGCGCGGCGCGGCCGGTGCCGGTCGTCGCCCCAACGCGCGCGCCGGCTTCGAGCAGCAGCCGCACCGCCTCGGCCTGCCCGTGACGAGCGGCCCAGGTCAGCAGCGTGTCCTGCGTGTCGGTGTCGAGCCGCGCGTCGAGCGTGCTGCGCGTCCGCCGCCCGGAGAGGAAGGCGCGCAGCGAGCCCAGGTCGCCCGCCGCGAGGTCTGCAGGGAGGCTAACGCCGCTCATGCCGCCCCCCGGCCCCCGCCCCCCGGCCGTCACCATGCCGCGAGAAGATAAGCTGTGGGCCGCTGTTTTCCCACCTTCAAGTACACTTTATATAAACAAGACAACTCTCTCTCACAGCACACAGGCTCGACACAGGTACACCCCAAGACTTCCCCAAACCGCCCAGGATGAGCTCCTGAGGTGCCAGTCCGCCCGAGATATGACCGGTTGAAGTTGGGGTTCCACGGTCAGGATGGAGGTGCCGAACTGGATGGGGGTCAGCCAGGGAGGCTGTTGTGGCGCACCGGACCGCCCCCCAGCACCGTGCCCCACCCAACTGCATCCATGGGAGTCACAAACGGTGCTGCACTCGCGGCTGCAAGCACTCACGACGCTCAAACCCACCACCTGCCTCCTACCCTGTACGAGGAGCCATTTCACCCGTGCAACATCTGCACAGGTGTACCGCCGACGCTCAAGCGCCTGGCCCCTACTAGAGTAGTCTTGTGGGACCCACAAACGACCAATACATCCACTCGGGGCTGCAGCATGTGTCCGGGGGGGGCATGCCATCCCCGTGAAGCAGCCAGCAGGTGCCGGACACGGCGTTGGCCGTCTTGGACCGAGATCAGGGCGCAACTGCCTATCTCGTGGGGCTGAAGGACCGTCATGGGGTCGGCTTTGATGCTGCCAATCAGTCGGGTCGATAGGTGGCGCCCCGGCGAGATGCATTGCGGGTGCTTGGCGTCGCCTGCTTGAGTGGCCTGAACGCACTCGCGGGAGCCAGAGAGCAAAGGTGTGCGCGAATTGAGGCTTCTGAGCGAGTCCAGGCAAGCCACAGGACCGGCCATGTGCGTGGGTAGTCGAGCGGTGGCCGGAGGAAGCCTCCAGTAGTGCCTCTCAGTTCGGCACCTCGGTCTCGACCACGCCCAGACTGGGAGCGGCCCACAGCTTATAACGCACGGGCCCTCAGCGGAGCTGGGAAGAGGACCGCCGCAAGCGGCGTGGCGTGGAGCGGTTGTGCATCCCTCCGGGGGCCCCTCTGCGCCGGGGAGGCGTTGTTGGAGGCTAGGACGCAAGCGTCCGTCGCCCTTTTCAAACTCGGGGCCCACGCCGCTACGCTCCGACCCGAATTTGGAGGGCCTAAAAGTTTAAGGTGTTGCTGCGCAAAAGGGGTCGGACACCGGGCGCAGCTCATGCTAAGAGCTAGAAGAGGAGATAGAGAGAACAACCACCCTGTCCCGTTATTGCGTACACCAACAAACACCACAAAACGCTCTCTCTCTCCTGTCCTCACTCAGGGGGGTCACAACTACTAAGTCCCTCGACTAGCTGCCACAGGGCGCAGCTGCCACAGGGCGCAGCTGGAGACGCTCCCCCTCAATCGGCATCCACCCCCACCCGCTCCAGCCCCACTTCTGCTGCCGAGAGAGCTGAATCGAAGCAAGCGAGCCATTGCATCTTGGCGTGCTCCTGGAGCGCGGCTTTCTGCGGCCACGAGCACGGCGGAGTCGGCGCCGTAGCGCGCATCGTTCCCGCTCATCGCCCATTCCTCCCGTGACGTGTGTCGGCCGCGATTCGATGTCGCCACCTTCATCGCCAACGAGGACTCCCTCGACTGCAGGGGGGCTCTGGCGCGGGGAGGGACTCCGCCTGCTGCGCTGGCCGACTGCGCCCTCCTCCTCCATGGGATCGATCCGATTCCGCAGCGGCGGTGCTGCGCGGGAGGCGGCCGCGGGCACGCTGGGCTCGATCAGCGGCTTTCCCCTCAGGTAGCGAAAGCACGGATTTGGCGGATTCTTGGCTTCAATTTTACGAATGTCTTGGCACCAGCTGAAGGCTTGCACGGCGCACATCGCCGGATTCGTGCACGGTATTCGGATTTTGGCTATTTGCTCGTGTGGGGGTATATCGCAGATTTGTCAATGGTACCGCGTCTGCGACGCGGGCGCCTTGCGGGCAGAGCCCTTAGCCACCCTTTTATCTTGCGCGGTCAAAACAGATGTTCTTTTCTTTCTTTCTTCAGGAGAGAAGCTTGTATTTTAAGAATTCTTCAGGTCACAGGTGCGAACTGGCGCGTGCTAGCACAATCGAGACAAGAATAAAAGAAAGGCAGCTCATGGACGGACGGCACGCAGACTCGCAGTCCGATCCAGTTGAGTGCTAAACAACAGGAGAGGGACTGCCGCGAAATGCCAAGGTGAGAGCAGGGCCATTGCAGTGCTCCGCTACTCCGTCTCGCGCGTGATCGCGAAGCGCAGCACGCACGCGCTGAAGTCGCGCGCCGCGATGCCGTTCGTGTTTCCTGCCGAGTCGAGATGGTGTGTGCTCGTGGTGCGACAGCTGCTTATCGAGCCCCCACGACAGGGGGGGGGGGGGGGGGGGGGGAGGCGGAGGATGCGGAGGCGGAGGCGGCGGCGGCGGAAGAGGAGGAGGAGGAGAGTGAGGGGGAGGCGGAGGCGGGGGCACCTGTGACGGCCCCCTACGAGAAGGGCGACTACGGTTCGCGCGGGAGAAGAATTGCGACCTGCGTTTGCTCGACTTCGAGACGTTCGGCGGCTTCGGGTACGGCGTCCGCAAAATTCTTCGGCAGGCGGCGGACCAGCTGAGTAACAAACTTTCGCACGCTCAGCACCTCGATGAGGTCACATGGACCACCAAGAACTGGCACGGGCTGCAGATGCAGCGCTTGTCTGTGTCGTTCTCCACACCTCCGTGGCGTGGCAGACGGTGAACGAGCTAGCGTGCGGGGAGAGCGGCATTGTGCACGGTGCGGAATGCATTGCCGTTCTTAACGGAGTCGCTTGTAGGCGGCTCCGGTGGTGTGCCTGTGATAGTACTAGCACGCGCCAGTTCGCACCTGTGGCGAGCCTGTCTGCTGTGAGAGAGAGTTCTTTTGTTTAAATTCTTCTCTGCACTATAGCCCTTGAGAAAAAGCTCGCATTATGCAAACCTGTGCCTGTGTCCTAGGAAGTAGACTGGGAGGGGTACTCCCAAAGGCAAGAGGAGGTCTGTAGAGGCCCACAGCGGCCAGGAGAGGCCCCAAGAGGGCGCTAGATGAGAGTCAGCAGAGCGCGCCGTCTCGGCGGCTATGGGCAAGTGGGCTGAGAGACCAGAGGGATTTTATTCTCGGCCGGAAGTGCGCGGCTCAACTTCTAATAAATTGTGCCAGGTGTATCCGGGGGCGGGCAGCACCCCTCCTTCCTGAGTCACCAGAAAATCCCAACGATCCTCGAGCGGAGGCCGCCTTAGCCACTTTTCCGGCCTCTTTGGAGAATCGGAGAGAATGGCTACCAAAGCCCAGCATGGCACCCGCGGGCAAAGCTGCCCCCAGGTCCCTAGAGCCCATGGGCATTTCCAAAGGATATGTCAGCGTGAGGTGAGGGCGCAACGGTTGGGGCTCTCACCAGCCCCTCAAAGTCGGGCCTCTCGGGAGGCGGTCAGACTCAGAGGGGCGGGCAAGGGCACGTGGGAGAAGGGTCAGTGCGGCCCACAAGGTGTGAGGGCGATGAAGCGGAGGCGCGCCGCACCCGCAGCGGCAGGTGGAAAGAATTGGTATAAATAAGCGTATCCGCCGCTACACACACGAAGTTGTCACGGCTACCCTAGCTTTGAGTCGGTGTTCGTCTCGGCGGCGAAAGATCGGTCTTCTGCCACCACGCGATGGCGCGCGCACAAGGGCCGCCCGAGACACTCCCTACGGCCTGTGCCGCTCCTACTGCCCTACTTCACCCGGCGGCGGGCGCCGAGGCGGCGAGCGCCGAGGCGGCGGTCCCGGCGCAGCCGTCTGCCACGTGCGGCGCGTCGGCTTGTGACGAGGCCGCGAGGTCGGGTTCCGTCTCCGAGAGATCATCGGGCACGGGGGGCAGCACCGCCACGTCGCACTTGGAGAGGAGTCCGGGAAAAGGTTTTGAGCAATAGCCGCACTTGCCCATAGCCGCTTTCGCCCCGCCCGCCAGCACCGCCGACACCACCGACTTCGAGGGCGACGGCGAGAGCAGCACCGCCCACAGCCGCTCCGCGAAGTGCCCCTCCTCGATGTTGTCGCCGCGCGTGAGCGCGTCCCGCAGCGCGATCCAGTCGGAGCGCGGGGTGCGCCGCACGGCGGTCGCGGTGGCCGCGAAAGTGCCGCCGTAGCACACGAGCCGCACCGCGTGCTGCGCAGCGTCGACGCGGGCGTGGGTCGCGGGGGAGAAGACGGCGCGCCAGAACTGGCGCAGCGGGCGCTGCGCCGCGCGGAAAGCGTCGACGTTGGCGCGTTGCGTCTTCGAGTTCTGGTCGTGCTGTTTGTGGTAGTCGTCCATTTGGAACTCGTCCGCCTCGACGGCCACGTGCCACAGACGCGACCGCCTCGTGCCTGCTAGGTGCGAACCGCACGCGAAGCCGTCGCGCGACGCCGAGAGGCCCTGCGCGAGGCGGGTGACCCCGATGGGCGCCAAAACCGTCTCATCGCCGCCCTCGTACCCCATCGACGTGTCCTTGAGGAAGAGTATCGACGCGGGGAGCGTGCAGTAGCGCGCCGCCAGGAACCGCGCGAACGTGTGGTCGTTGCGCCCCACGTTCTCCACTGTCTCGACGGTCGCGTGTCGCGGCAACTCGCTTGCGCCTGCCCACGCAGAGAGTCGGGAAGGCGCGGGCGCGTCGGTACGGGGGGCGCCGTCGGTACGGGGGGCGGGGCGCGCGGCGCGCACGGGCTCCGGTGGGCTCGGGGCCGCCGGCGGGCGCGCACGTGGCTTCTTGCCGCACTTGGCGACGACGTTCACCCTGGTCACGTTCGCGCCCACTTGCGCGAGCTTGTCGAGCGTCCCCATCAGCCAAGCCAGCGACGCGCTGCAGTACGCGAGCACGATCTCCGTCTCGCCGAGCGGTCGGTCGCCGGCGTGCAACGCGGGGTGGCCCCGATTGTCGGTGCTCATCGCCGGACAGGGCCACCTGTAGACGTAGCAGACGTAGCTCACCTCGGACCCATGGTGCTGTGGACTCGCCGACTTGCAGTACGAGGCAGGAACGGTGCCGGAGATGCGGCCCGTCACCTGCGGCCGAGGGGCAGCAGCCGAGGTGCCGCCGAGGTGCCGCGGTGCAGCCGAGGTGCGGCAGTGCGAGGGAGGGAGAGGGGATGCTGGTCGCTGCTCCTCGACGTGTCCCTACATCTCGCCTCTATATCTCTCGGCTGAATATATCTCGGCTGTATATCTCGGCTGTATATCTCGGCTGTATATCTCGGCTGCATCTCGGCTGTCTCTCGGCTGTCTGTCGGCGCCTTTAGCTCCTCGAGGCGGCCCGGGCCGAGGAGCTCTGCTGGGAGGGTGCCCGAGAGGCGTCTTGCGGTGAGGGTGAGGTGGCGGAGGTTGCCCACTTTTGCGAGCGAGTCCGGGATCGTTCCCGAGATGGAGGAGTTTCTGAGGGTGAGGTGGCGGAGGTTGCCCACTTTTGCGAGCGAGCCCGGGATCGTTCCCGAGATGGAGGAGTATCTGTAGTTGCCGAGGTCGAGCCGTTCGAGCTCGACAAGGCCCTTGAGCGCCTCGAGCGGGATCACGCCGGAGGGCGTCGAGGTGCCGCCCCGCAGCTTGAGTTTCTTGATGCCGCCGTGGTGGTTGCAGGTCACGGCGGATAGGTTGCAGCAGTCGGCCTGGCCCGGGCGGAAGAACCTTGTGTCGATGTCTGAGATCTGCAGGTCCAAATACACCATCTTGAGCGCTTCGCACTGGCAGGCAGGAGTGTCACAGCCGACCGCGTCGGCCGGCGCCGCGAGCATAGCGGAAGAGACGAACCACTGCGAGGAGAGAAGCGCGGTGGTGGCAGAGTACGAGGAGTGCGCAGACGCGGCTCCGAGGCAGATCAGCGCGAGGATGCCAAAGAGGCGGAGCGGGCAGATCTTGGGCGTGGTAATCGTGGTCGTCTCAACGATGACCGTCGCGCCCTGAACAGGAGGGCGCGAGACTGGCCGTGCGTTAGCGGCGAGCCGGGGAGAGAGGCCACATGTGCAGGCGGCGGGCACCGCGTTTGTGGTCGACGGCGTGGATCCGCGCGTCACTTTGGAGCGCGCGTTGCCGGTGCCGGTGCCGCTGCCCTCGTTGCCGCCCGCCCCGAGCAGGGCCCCGAACCCGTTGCTGCAATCGATCGGGGCGGACGCGCCCTTGCGCTCGTTGTTGCGGCGCGACCTCGAGGGGGTCATCCACTTGGAGATGCCCTGTGCACACGCGCAAGCGGTGGGTGCGTCAACCAGCGACACCTGTGCCAGCCAGAAGGCGAGGGGATAAATCTTGCCAGGAGCGCAATGCCACGTGCACGCAAGCACACGCCTGCTTGTCGGCAAGCGGCGGCGGAGGAGGAGAGAGCTTGAGAACGAGCTTGTTACCGGCGGCCGGCGGGAGCTCAAGTTTGAGCTTCTCGAGCATGTTTAGCCTGCAGCGCACAAGATATGCACGCCAATGAGTCAATACGGCCGGACGAGTATAAAAAGCAATCATCAATTATGAACTATTGAGTATTGAGGCGCCCGGCACAGCGCTGCAGCTGCAGGCTAAACGCTGCGGATTACTGCAGACCGCTGAGTGATTATTACTGTCGACTACTGCGGATTACACGCTTGTACTGTCGACTACTGAGGACTACTGACTGCGGAGTACTGTGAAAATCTCGGGGAATCAGGCAATGATCAGGTTGAAGAGGCCAGCCAGCGCCATCAGGTAATTCACAGGCAAATCATAACTTCTCTCTGCTCCAGGTCTGCTCTGAGAGCGTCTTTGAGGGGGCATGAGAAGAGGGGGGCGGCTCAAGGGCGCCGCACCTACTCGCGGCATTCGCAGCTTGAGGCCCAACCCGCAAGAAGCCGCGGCGGCTCCCCTCGCCCCACCTAGATTTGGATCTGCGAGGCGCAGGCGACGGCGGGCGAGCGTCAGCATCGTAAACTGGGATGAGCATGGCGCGGGCTCGCTTCGGGCGTCGCAGGAGCGCAGTAGGCATGGCGGCGATTCGTCGCGCTGGGCCGTCGTTCTGCCCGCGTTCCGGGGGTGTGCACCTCAGATTCGTGTCGCTCAAGCCTCTCGGAACGAGCCGCGCGCGAGGCGTTCGCAGTACGGCGGGCACGGCACGAGCGCGCTGCAGCGCATGGGATGGGGGGCGAAGTGGCCGGGCACGCTCGCGCAAAGGCCAACACGCGCCGCGTGGGATGAGGAACGGAACAAGCGAACCTTCACGCCGATCAACGTGCAACAACCAGGCGCCGTGGCCACAGCAAGCTGTCTTCGAGCGCGGGCGTTGTTTTTCTTTTGTGAGCATTCTTGATTGATACTCGAGTACGAAACCACGACGACACACACCAGTCGACTCGCATCGGTTGCCTACATGAACGGCGGAGCTATTCTCGCGTCCACACCACACCTGGCTCCAACGTGGACACGCCCATAGCTGGGGACACTACTAGGTCACGTGGGGGGGCGCGGGGGCCCCCGGAGGCACCGGGGGCTCCGGCTCTATTAGTCTCTATTAGCACCAAGTTCCCGATTAAGCTAGGTTAATCAGAGGGCAGATTTGGAGAGATCTCGAGGAGTACATACAGATAGACCCTCCAATCATCAGAAAACTCCAACCTGATCGGTCGTACTGACCGCCGACAGATCACTCCAGACAGCAGACAGGCCGACGTCTGCACACGGCCGGCCGGGCGAGAGGCTTGACACGATCCGACCCTGCGACCCTGACGCTGCTGCTCTAGCTATCAGACATGCACTGCTGACTGCTGCCACAATGTGCGACCGGTGCTGACCCACTTGGCGGCCTTCCCGGTCAGTGGTGAGGCGCAGTTCAGAGCTGTCGATGGCGCGATGTGCTGCACTGGTCCCACATTGGTGACACGAGACCACCACGTTTGCCGGTCCAAGAGAGAGGCACCGGCGCTGTCCTGAGAAGGTGCATGGTCCCTCTTGACTGCCCATGCGCGCGAGGCTGTGTAGGCATAGCCTCGAGAGTGCCAGCAGCCAATCCGAGGCAGTTTGTGACGCGCATTGCGTCAGAAGCGTGCACGCGCTGGAAGGACACCTTCCTACTGGCCGTACTGGCTGGAAGAACACCTTCCTACTGGCCGTACGATCAGGTCGTCACTGAATGCCGAAGACTAAGGCCGCGAGCTATGCAGGTGATCAATTGTGCAGCATGGCACGGTCAGCAGCGCCGAAAGGATGTCGCAAGGCGTGATAGCATGGCCGCAAGTACGCCGAATTCCCATGAAACAAGTAAAAAATCGCGCGAAAAAGAAAAAAAACTGCCAAAGAAATCGGCGCCTGCGGCGGACTGGGTGACCCCATCTCCCCCCGCATGGGTACCCCCTAGGGCCCTCGCCTCCCCCCAGAGGTCACGCATGGCATCAGACTCGTTGCAAATACGGGTGCTGTGACAATGATGAATTTTGATGTTTTTTTGTCCGTGTTGCTCCCAGCGCCCTCGCCCGCGCTCCCTGAGGCCATGGCTGGTGCTACTAGTATGGGGGGCTACCTGGCTACCGCGAGAGCGACCCAGCTCGTCGACATCGTCCGATGATGGTGCCTCAAAGTCAGCCTCCGGAGGCTATCGTCGCGTCGAGCCGGCGGTGGCCGTGACATGTGGATCCACCACCCCTCGTAGGCTTTGCCTCTGATCGCCACCGTTCCCAGGCTGCCTAATGGGATGGAAAGGAAGGCTCGGCGAGCGTATAGAAGCGTGCTCGACCTCGTCGTGGCAACCTGCACGGCAGCGCTGGCGGGCGCGATGAGCGTCGTGCCACCTGACCCGAGACGGGTCGCAGGCGTCGTACCGAGCGCATCGAGACCGTGTCCTGATGTGCTCTGCACGGGTGAGTCACGTCGGCGTCAAAGGAGCGACGTGTGACCTGTCAGAGCTTGATCTCCGATCTCCAGCGGCGTCGAGTCGCCTTCGGTGGCGACACAGCTAGGATGCATCTCCTCCTTCGTTTTTCGCGCTATGGGCCTGGGAAGCTGGCGGTGCACGCGGACGGACCTTGTGTGTGCACAGAACGCTTAAAACGTGGGTGCTCTATGTCACTTTTTTTGAGTAGATAGTGCCGAGCTGGCCGTGACATCGTTTTTTGTTTGTTTTCCACGTGATACTTTTTGCAACTAGTCATCAGAAGTTTTATCTGTGGGCACCGACACAGCACAACACACACGAGACACACACACACACACACACACACACACACACACACACACACACACACACACACACACACACACACACACACACACACACACACACACACACACACACACACACACACACACACACGCACACACACACACACACACGCGCGCGCGTTTTCTTTGAGACCGCCTCCCTTCCCTGCGAACGCGCACCCCCCCCCCCCCTTCCCCAGGGTTGTGAAGAGCTACACAGTATCTGGTGGTTTGTGTGACGAGCGCGTCTTGGCACTTGGGAGTTGGGTCCGGGGTTTTTGTTTTTCGATGTGAAGAGCAGAGGGCGTCTAGTTGGTCTTAGGCGGTGGGCTGCGCGCGTGACTAGGTCAAGCCCTGGGCGGGCCACGAGAAGAAAACCCTCTTGTGCTAGGTCTATATTCTATTCCCTCCCTCCGGAGCTCATGGACTGCAGAAGCAGAGCCCTCAGGCAACGCGCAGCTGCATCCACATCAGCACGGGCGCGCGGCAGATGGGGCACGACTCCATCCTGGCGGAGCAGGGGCCGCAAGCGCACAAGTGCCCGCACGGCCCCGCGACGTGCGACTTTGGGTTGGAGAAGCAAACGATGCACGTGGTCTCGCCGCCCAGGGTGGACTCGGGGACCGCCGGCCGGCCCGTGTCAAAGCCGGCGTCCGCGAGCGAGACGGCTGCGGGCGGCGGCTGCGGCCCGCTTGGGGACGGTGCGGCCTCGGAAGCCACGCCCGCTTCGCCAGCCTCCGGGACCGGCGCCTGCTCCCCCGCAGTGTACCTCGCCTCGCCCTCCACCCTCACGCTCTCCTCGAGCGCCGCTGCCAGCTCCGCCTCCTCCGCCGCCGCGGGCGCCTCCGCTTCCGTCGCCTCGGGCTCCTGCGACGGCCCCGCTGCGTCAGCCGCGCCGCCCTTGTTCTTCTTCTTCTTCTTCTTCTTGCCCTTGCCCTTGCTCCGCCTCTCCTCCGCCTCCTCCTCCGCCTCGATCTCCGCCAGCAGCTCAGTGGCATGCCGCGCCGCCTCCGCCTCCGCCGCCTCTCTTGCCGCCGCAGCCTCCTCGGCCGCCCTCTCGGCCGCCGCCCTCTCGGCCGCCGCCCTCTGGCTGGCGACCAGCCAGGCGGCGAGGTCGGCGTGGCCTTCTTCGGTTGCAACCTCCTCGGGCGTGCCGAAGGGCGTAGCGGCGCGGGAGGCGCCGTAGGAGGAGAGGAGCTTGGCGACCTCGAGGTGGCCCTTCAGGCACGCCGCGAACAGCGGCGTGGCGCCTTGTTCATCGGCCTGGTCGATCGCTGCGCCAGCCTCGAGAAGCAGCCTGACGCACTCGAGGCGGCCGCTGAAGCATGCTATGAGCAGCGGCGTGGTGCCGTCGTTCATCGCTTGGTTGATGTCAGCGCCAGCGTCGCGCAGCAGCATGGCGCACTCGAGGCGGCCGTCCTGGCACGCGACGTACAGCGGCGTGCGGCCTTCAGCGTCTGCATGAGCCACCGCCGCGCCTGCCTCGAGAAGCAGCCTGACGACCTCGACGTGGCCTTCCCGGCTCGCGACGTACAGCGGCGTGCAGCCGTTCTCATCGGCTTGGCCTGTCGCCCCGCCAGCCTCGAGGAGCAGCCGGGCGATCTCGACGTGGCCCTTCTGACTCGCGATGAGCAGCGGCGTGGCGCCGTTCTGCTGGGCCTGGTCCATCGCCGCGCCAGCCTCGAGGAGCAGCCGGGCGCACTCAATCTGGCCCTCCTGGCACGCGGTATACAGCGCGGAAGCGCCGCCGCCAATCGTCGCCCCGACACTCGCGCCGCCCTCGAGCAGCAGCCGCACCGCCTCGGCCTGCCCGTGACGAGCGGCCCAGGTGAGCAGCGTGTCCTGCAACTCGGTGTCGTGCCGCGCGTCGGAGAGGAAAGCGCGCAGCGAGGCCAGGTCGCCCCGAGCCAGGAGGAGGTCGGCGAGGTGGGGAGGACGCCGCTCATGTGCCGCCAGAAAGAAGAAACACTGAATGGATGTCTGTGGATTTTTTAGTGGATTCCTCTCGGCCTTTGCCGGCATCCGCGCGCAAGCCAAAGTGCGACCCGTGCGTCGCCCGCGCACGCGCTCCCTGTGTCGCGGAGGACGAGGAATCACGCTGGCCAAGGGCGACCGCGTCGAGCGCCACTGTCCGGAGTCGCTCGAGGAGTCGCAGACGGCGTTTGTGGCCTTCTCGTGCGCCGCCGGGATCATCCGCGGCCTCGTCCCGCTCTCGCTCCTGGAGCCCGTCGACGCTGAGGAAGGAGCGAGCGAGGGCGAGCCCACGGAGCAGGCGCACATCGCTTCCAGGGAGGGGGGCGCACTTCTACTCACGCCCCCCTCCCTGGAAGGGATGTGCGCCTGCTCCGTGGGCTCGCCCTCGCTCGCTCCTTCCTTAGCGTCGACGGGCT